AATGGCCAAACGTGTAATTCACGTCGAAATCAGTGTTTTGAGCGGGCGCAATAATGACTACTTTGGAGGTACTACTGGTCGCTCCACCTACTCCATTTAATTGTCTACCATAAGGATCTGGCGAACCAATAGCAGCCAGTAAAATTGCTTCGTGCTCGACATTTTCAGTTGACAATTCATGTTCATGAAAAAAACAGATCTTTACTGGTGCCATCATTCATCCAGACATCTTTAATTTTTAATTGTTGATTCATATTATTTACTAGCCTTAACTCACATTTACAATCTAAAATTTGAAGTAACAAGAGTATCTTATGTAATTGTCCGAGGCAGAAAAAAACTGATTCATATTCAAATCTTAACTAAGTGACCAACTGGTCTAGAAAAGTCTGAACTAAGATAAGAACAAAGTGTAAAAATAAATTAATTTTTTTTTGGTCAGAAACTGAAAAAAAATCATAACGATACAAGATCGAAGGTTTTTCAAATCACATCACTTTTGGTAGATTTTTTATTTCTCTTGAGACACAGTTGAAGCATATATACTCACTGTTATCAGATATGAAGAAAGAATGTGTTTTTTTGTAAAACATGACACACTATTACTGAAACCGAACAAAAAAGAGAAACATGTTAAGGCCATCTCTCACGCTCTTCAAAAACCGATCTCAACTGTAGCACGTTTAAATCCCATGAAATTTTCAGCATATGTTGCGAGTGTGAGAACAGCTGCTATAAACATTTTCGCATCAGCTAGAAATTTTGTAAGGATTATAGATTTTGTTATAATTGTAGAATGTAATATGTAATTTACAAATAAATGCTACATCTAGAATGATAGGAAGTATAAGTATTTTATACGGATGAAGAAAAAATTAACTGAACTTTGAATCGATAAATTAGTTCTACTTTAGTTCGATTCAAGAATTACCGAGGGCAATAAGTGAAGTTAATAAAACGAATAGAAAAAGTGATCATAAATAAAATTATTTTATTCATTGATTAGCATATGAAATAATTCTTTATAAGTGTTGCTTGTTGATTTCTGTGAATCTTTTATCTTTATTGATCAGTGGTAGTATTTGATTTCTAAGTTTTCTTTGTTTGTCTTCGTTATCGCTCTAGTCAATGAAAATTGAAAATATATGTATCATTAAGAAGATGGTTTACCTAAGAATTTTAAATATTTCTTTGTTTTGTAATAATAATGGTTTTGGTCGCTTACGTATGAGTTCATTCTTTGTATCCCGATGATTACAATTACCAACAATTAACTTAGGATCCATTGCTGGTGCAGTTTTAAAGACATTTTCATAGACTTGGTGCATGTTTCATGTGAACGATTGAAATCAGCTTTCATGGGTATAATCAATAAATATATTATCTCCATAATTTGTTTGTTTCTTTTTCTCTGTTGTTGTCTCTGTAGATGCTTTTGGTTTGATTTGTTCTATATCATCTGTTTGATCGTTATCGATATTAGCTGTACCTGCACTCATCATTACTTGGAATTGTCGAGGTTTTAATTGACCCATTATTTTATCATGCATACGAAAAAATTGTTTTCTATTATCGATAAATGATGATGGATAATTAAAGAATATTTTACAGATGAAAATGATTCTAGTTTTACAGTTGTATAATAGACACTTATCCATTATATAATAACATGAGCTTTATGTAGCATCGTTCATGATGAAATGCTTCCATTGCGGATGCATATCGAACAGCTCGTGTAAGAACAATTTGTATAATGTTTTCAAATACATGTTGAGGGTGATCAGAGATGAACTGGACCACATATGATTCAACAGTTGGTTTATGACATACTAATGTTGATAAAATACCATTATTATTCGTAAGAACATCAAGAAATGGAAGACTTTGACCAATTTTATAATTCTAATTTACTATTGGAATGCCATTGATTTGCTTTATCTAATAAATTTCTCAATTCTTTCTCTGATTTATTCCATGCTATAAAAATGTCATCAATATAATATCTAAAGATTGGATAGATATAAACTTAGGTTTAATGTATTCTTATACTTACTAATCATAAAATTCGCCTGTCATATCTTGTAGTCAAAGGAATTCTTTTTGTCATTTCCACATAAATATGTTGACTAATGTTCACGTAAATGAGAAACCAATAACAACACCAATAATTTGTTTATAAATCTTGTTATCATAAACAAAAACATTTTCTTTCAATACAGTAGAAGCTAATTTTCTCATTGTATCGAGAGGGATTCCTTTGTGTGAGTGCTTGTGGTTGTGTGAGTGTGGGTCTCTTCAATATTATCTCAAGCCTACACCCACGCCCTTTTCTGCTACGTTGAATTAGGTGTGCTAATATCATAATGACTGGATTGATAGAATCAAGTATTTTGATGGTCTTTCTCTCTTCATCGCATCCAGAAGACGAATTTGTCTCCCTACGTTTCAAGTCGTCACTTAGTTTCTCTGACTATGACTTTCAATTTCATTATTCTATTGCGTCTGAGTTTTTCATCGAAAGACATCAAAAACATCTTCTGAAAGAAAAACGTTCGATAAACCTTGGTTACTTCAAGATTTCGAGAAAGAAAATTTCGAACAATTGTATTTGATTGGTTTTAGCCTCAACTGATTCTGAGAATATTTTTCTCACGTGAAACTTCAAATAGGAGTCCGAAGAGCGTTGTTGGTCAACAATGGAAGTAAAAGTCGACGTTGTTGTATCTGAAGTATATAGAATCAGCTACAAAAGGTGAGTGAATTTATTTTATTATCGACATAGCTGCTACGAAGGCGAGGCAAAAAAAAAGACTAATGTTACAAACATATTTGATCACAAGCAGTTGTTCCTTATCTATCTACATCGATTGCTTGAATGATCGGATGTTAACAACGACATTTTCATTGAAATACAACCCTTCGTCTTGTTACTTGGGAATATCAATATTCAAACAGGCGTATATTTGCTCAGAGACTGAAAATGCCCATCATTAATTTCTAAAACTCGATGATGGACTAAAATCTAATATCAGAAATCTTGAAGTGTTCGATTAACAATTATGACCTTTCTCTCTTACTAAGAACATCATCAGGCACAAATGAGTGAAAGACAAAGATCATAGAGAATATCGAAGATAACCAAAAGTAAACAATTCTTTTCATTCTCGTCCACCATTTCAATGCAAGGAGGAGAAAAACGAGTCATCTGTATTGGAATGGTTGACGAGAAAGAAAAGAACTGTTTACTTTTGGTTATCTTCGATATTCTCTATGATCTTTGTCCTTCATTCATTTGCGTCTGATAATGTTCTTAGTAAGAAAGAAACATCAGGGTATATGTAGGTGTGAGTATTGGTATGGGAAAAGAGACTGATGTCCACAGTCACACCAATACCCATACCCCTGAATAGCAATGCAATCATTCAGTGAGAAAGATCGTCAAGAGCTAAGGATGTATTATGACCCCCATCAACAACAACAATAAGATAATAGTTGAGTTGTTTATCGTTTGCAATGAATAAAAGGTTCGACACAGATTAGGTCTTCGCATTTTGTTCGTTTTTTTATAAAGTAAGTGACATCAAGGTAAGGGCAAAAGATAAGAGACTGGCTAAATGTTAAAAAGGAACCTTCTAGAAAGTTTCATTTTACTTTCGTGAAATAGTAAATTCTCGACGTTGCCGATCACAAATAGAATCCGATTATTGCTTAGTTTCCTTAAGACTTCAGTTGATTTAATCGCAATCTTAATTTACAATGAATAAGTTCGAACAAACAAAAAACCTTCTGTAAGAATAGTGCATTATTCCATGTGCTCTGAGGCTTCTATCAAAATGCGTCATCGATAGAGAGCGAGAGTGAGAATTAGAGAGAGAGAATTTCAAAACTTCTTCAACCAGTTAGTAAAATAACGACGTTCACAGAAATATGTGGGCAGGAGAAGGACGAAAACCTCATTAGCACCTCCATGTAATAAGCCCCTGCTGTAGAATGTCCGAAAGCAAATTTGTATCACATCTCCATCGATGATATACACAATGATGTCGATGCAGGAACTTTAAAAAATTTTTAAAAATCATGAATTTCATGAATTTTATATGAAAAAGACGAAAATAAAGGTTTTTTGAATGATGAAACGGACATTAATGTTGATTTATTTCAAATTCATTGATTAAAACAAACATTTTGACGCAGTAAATGCAATGATTTTGAATCTTAATCAAAATCATGGAAATAAATTGATGAAACTAGTTGTCTTAATCGATGAATTTGAAATACATCAACATTAATGTCCGTCTCATCATTTTTATGTAAATCTTTTAATTTTTTTTAAGTCACTGAGAGTATGATGAATATGACGAGTTTTACTCTGTATTATACTAATTGAGAGAAAATATTATGTTAACGAATTGCAGCACCAAGCCTGTGAAATTACTATGTGCAATACGATGGAGCTTTCTTCATCATAAATGGCATATCTTGTCTCAAATATTCAAGTCTACATACTATAGGAAAACAAGCGAAAATAATAAAATGTTAAAGGACAGAAGCCCGAGAAATCTTCAAAAATTACAAATAGCCGAAATATTAATAATAAAAGGTATTAGATCAATCAAAAAGAAAGAAAGAGATGCAGCTGAATGAGACAGACAATGGTTTTGAAAACTCGTTTCAGACAGACGAATTATTTACTGCCTCTCGAACCTAGTCCTTCATTCAGTCTAGAGAACATATCTGTAGTACATTCTAGTGGGCGCTTTTCATCATCTATCAGTAGTTTAATCTTATGTTAAGCTATGTTCGAATCCTACGATTAATTACATGGGCTATTTTGGCACAGAAAACGAACCGTTTTTGTGTATTTGCTCTTTTAGAAATGATTATTGTATATCTGTGGTTGTTCCTGTCACTAATAATCAGTCCGTGTTCAATGTTACAATGTTTCGAGTGTGAACCAAAAAATTACAACTTTCTTATAACATCCGATAATGTTCCTTCGGCGTTTAACTGTACAAGAATTGTTACACCAAATAAATTTTGTTCATTGGATATTTGGACAGTTGATAATGGAACAAAAAGTGATCTTCGAGTAACTGCATTTTATAATCCTGAGAAAAGAGATGTTCCCTATGTTTTGACTGGATTTACTCTACATAGTAGTGGGAATTTTTCTACGTATATTTTATATCACTGTTTAACAGATAACTGTAATAATCCTGGAGTTGTTCTCAAACGTTTACTTGAATCAACAACAACTGAAATTAAAGCACCTAGTCGATCATCTGTGGATCAATCAAAATTATCAACTTCTATCGAATGTTTTATCTATTCAAATTTTACAAATTCAAGTGAATGCAAACCAGCACGTCGAACAACAGATAAAGAAGAAGGAAATTGCTCATTTTGTACAACATTCATTAATATTGATCCAAACCATTTACTAACAGAAAGAGTATGTTGATATTGTGAAACCTCTTCAGAGTCAATTGAAAAATGGAAATATATTGATGGAAGAATTCATTTATTAAATGATCGTGTTAGTTATTTAGACTATGTGTCCTATGTTTGCAATGCAACAAACAATTGTAATTCACTAGAAAATATTAAAAATATACAAAGAACATATAAAATTGAATTTAATTTTGATAAATTTTTAGGACCCATCAGTATTGGAAATATTAATATATATTATTCAAAGTATATGATTTATTTTTCAATGGTTTTTTGCTTAATCTATTATTTGTAAAACACCATCGTTCTAATTTGTAGTTGTTTTCGCCTTCCACTTGTTATTCAAATAAAATATTTCCAGGATCTGGGTGTGGGTGTGAGTATGGATATAGTTCTTTCCTTCACTCACACCTGATACTCACACCGAAACTCGCCCTTCTTAACTTGTTTGTTATTCCTCTGTATAAGTGATGAAGAAAATATCTCTTTTTTTTCAGTAATTTTTCGAATAGAAAAAAACCTATGATGCATAAGTGTCTGCGCAAATATTGATGTCTATTGTAGGCGAACAGAAAATGCTAGAAGCTTAGCTTTTTTTACTAATTGATAGAGCAAGATATGTACTTTGAAATGCATATTTAAAATAAAATTTAGAATGTTCTTTACAAGAGAGAAATAGCGGACTTCAAACACATTTGGAGTATCGGAGTCCCTGTTAATTGATTCATACGTTTCTCTTTCAAATATGATTATTAATGGCAAATAGCACGTTGAACTGTGAGAAATCATAGAGATATTTAAACCAACATTACTGAAGTTTCTTCTAGATGTTCAGCCACAGAAAGATCATTTCACTTATTGTTGACATCTAGTATAATGATAAAGCTATACCCATAATGTAATAAAGCTCCAAAATCGAAATAACAGGGTGTCTGGAAAGTTCGTGCCACTCATGTTTTATAAAACTGTACAATAACAAATAGTACATGAAATGGCTCTCCAATGCAGTTTAGATATAGTTGCACGAACTTTCCGAACAACCTGTAATATCTTAATGCACTAGGATAGTCGAAGAAAGAATAAAATAAGAAAAGCAATTGCACGATCCCAGATATAAAAATTTTATTTCGTTCAAATTCTTGTTTTTATGGATTTTGAGATAGAAAGAATGTGAAACCATTTTTTAGTAAAATATCTCGGACTGTCTTGAACGTTTTTGCTTAAAATGAGACTAGCACTCTACTTCTTTTCATAATCTCACTTTTTGTACTGTCTTTCTATGGAATCATCTACCGAATCTCTATTAAGTCATACTCACATAGAATATTTTAGTACTATCAAATGATTCACTTGAATTTATTTCTGACTTTGTCAATATAAAACCCATATTTTTTAAAATATTGCAATAATAATATTATTACGAAGTGAATTTTTTTGTCTAATAAAAATCTTTTTAAGGCTAAATGTCAAAATATAGATATACTATTCGACGAAAATAATTTAAAAAATGTTTTCTAGGCAAATTCCGTCTCCGGAGCCTACTCTTACAAACAATGAAACATTCCAATCGATAAAAACTGCTTCTTCTGAGAGTTAGAATATAATATCTTTTCTCCTTTCTTTGCATAAAGATAGTACATCAAAATTATTTTGTTTGTGCACATATTTCTGTGTATGAGATTGTTTTTCTAACAATTTTCTTACTTTTTGTCAGTACTAATGCATCAATAATAAGATTAATAACTTTAAAGTTGATCAAAATGCGACTGATGTAGACGCGAATAGTACTGACTTTCACATCTTTATCATACTATCCATGTATAGTTAATTGAGAATCTGTATCATCAATTCAAAAGCTACAATGAGCATCTATTACTTTTCTGGGAATGTATGCAAAATCCGATTATTTGATGCAAAAGTATAACATTGATGAAAGACAGAAAAATTCATAGTCTCTAGCAAACTGCCGAAATCTAGTTAGACACATAATAACAAACTCCTTTCTATCTATTGATGAGACTCGCTTAGTATTAAACAATAGATGTCTATGAATATTCGCTGCCTTAGTGAATTGTGCTACAAACAACTAATTTGAGTTTTCAGATATTCGTAAGTATATTCCAGTAAGTTTTATCTAATTAAGCATCCGAAATTAAGTTTTATTTTTCAACGTCATGGTGATGCATATTCACGTTTACTATAATATTCTGACAATAACAATTGGTCTTTGGATGATGATCATAAAGGTGAAACAGTATGAAGAAAACAATGTGCAAGAAATAAGAAATTCAAAGGGAAGTAATTATTTCGATGGAAAGCTGTTTAATTAACTAAACAGTGTTGACAACATTGTTACTTGAAGATAAAAATAAAATGGCGATATAAAAGCTTTGCATAAAAAAGTCTATCTAGTTGCTATTGTACAAACAGCTAATGTCGATTGATGAACGACAAATTGGTTTAAATCATTTAGATGAACAAAAAATTATAAAGTAAAATATTCCTTGCTTTTACAGCTGTCTTTTTTCTTCTGAGTCGAATAGAAGCGTTGTTTTATTTGAGGCAGAGTTGGAATCGGTAAGAAAATGATAAAACGGATATGGACGTGGATATGTAGAGGATTTAGATACCCACACTCGCACATCCTCTTGAAGCCAAGATCCTGTGAAGTTTAGTTATTCAATAAAATTATATTTCATTTTATTCTCAATTTCAAAAGAGATCACATATTGACTGTGACAAAAAACAATTTCACAAATTCGTTCAGTTGAACAATCGAAGTCGTTTGTGAATTAGTTCGGAATAAAAGTTTTAAATGCTTCTATTTCTATTGTTATCCCATTCATTAAAATACATTATATCGACTAATTCATGTATCTGTAATTGATGTAGGGATCGATGAAATTATAATAGTATATACAAAGAGAAGATAGACTCAATAGTTAGATAATGGTAAACGAATGAATCTGAAGCGAAATTTATTTCATTTATTGTATCATGTTGCAATAGGAAATCATTTTGATTGAGCCAGATGTAAGAATCGAACGAAGATTGTACAAGATCTTACAGACCATCAGAAATTGTAAGATTCATACTGTAAGATTCTTGCATAATCTGAACGTCTGAATCTTGTAAGATCTTGTATAGTCCGATCAGATTGCCCTTTCTAGTCCGATGTAATTTTATTTATTCTTATTTAGATCTTGGTTCAACGTTCATAAAAAAAAATATAGGTATTTATTTTTATTTAGACTTAGTTCAATCTCGAATGAAAATGGAAGTAATCATTTTTAAAATATGAATAATTACTTATTTTTTATTAAAGTCTTGCTTCAACATCGATCAAAATGTATAAGTATAAGTATGAGTTTCTTAAATATAAATTTATCTTCTTAAATGGAGAGTTAGTTCAACGTCGATTCATAATGTAGGTATGAGTTTTTGAATAGAAATTTGCCATTGATTTTTTTATTTAGATGCAGTTCACCATCAAATCAAAATGTAAGTATTTATGTGAGATATGGATGTTGATGAATACAAGATCAACATCCAAACCCACCCTCTCAATGAAGAGAGAACCTATTTCAACCTATTTTATCGGCATTTTTTTGTATTAGTATGAATTTTTTGGTATGATAATCATAAGTGTAAGTCTGGTGTTATTTTTCCTATCTGTTTAGCCGAGGAGTTCAAAAAACTATGCAAAATCTTGAATATCTAAATTAAAACTCAAGAAAAACGCATTTTGTAACCACCGTGATTATAATCAATCACTAATTCAATAATCTGATTTAGATTAGGCTAAAATCAGATTTCTCTTTTGAAACAAAGAAGACTGTTTAAAAAGTCAATGAATGTGTTAGGCCGCCATCGATCAATTCATCGGCTTATAGCTCTGTTTATATAGAAGAGTTCATGCTCGTCCGTCAGCTTCATGCATTCAGAAAACAAAGATCATTGAATTTCTCCTGTACTTTGTCTTTTTCATCAAACATGTCTAATATATAAAATAATATGACAAATTTTGTGTAGAAAAAGAAAATCATTAGTCGATTGCAATTATCTAATACATTTGTTCGCAGTAATTATTTTCATGGATTTTTGTCGTGCGGTTGCAGGCGTTCTCTTGATGAATGCCATGTAACTGGTAAGTTGTTTTCGAAAAAAAAGAATTTATTTCCAGATATAATTGACTCGAACTCAGTAGGAATTATGTTCTTCTCTTGCTTCTTATATCTTTATCCATTAATGATTCAAATATGTGTTTTTGCAGTACATTTAATTAATAATCTGTCAATTGTAAGTTATCAGATTATAAGACAATTATGAGAAATAATTCATAAAAATTATAATGATGTATGAACAAAGAATATAGATGAAAGTCTATTTTTAAATATTTTTATATTAATAAGAAGTTATTAATGACTGATGATTGAATCCTTGCTGAATTCAAACCTACTGACAAAAAACAATATTGAGAAAAAGGATAATTAAAGAAAAAAGATATCCATAAAAACGAGGGTTTTTTATATATTAACATGAATTTTTGACTCTGAGTAACAAAATCAAGTTTTTATTAGTTTATTTTTTTTCTCGACATATCCTGAATGTTTGATTTTTAATAGATCATGTAAGAAAAAAAAGAGTCCTAGAAGAAATTCAGTTAAAATTAACAAGTCATCTTTTCTAGTTTACGCTTTTGATTTATGAAATAGAATTTCATACGAAATAACAATACTTGCCATACGTTTGGATTCGTTCGAATTTTTTTTTCAAAATACATCATTAATATATTCTATTTATTTAGAAGTCGTCAAACTGGAAGAGAAACTAACCAATGAACAACTTAACTATTTACGTCAATGTAAGTCTATTTATTCTATTCTCATACTTATCAATATCTTATTATTTAACACTAGATTATAAAATGAATAAATATGCTACTCTCGATGAACTTCAATAAGTCTAACCAATATTAACATCTCTTGTCCACTTCTAGCATTGGTTTCG